GGCATGGGGCATTTTGTCAGAGCTTTGCCTTCATCCTTGATAATCGTTCGTAAAGCCACATTCTTATTAAAAATTCCACATCTGATACTGTACTTCCTGGCTTTGTTATAGACCCGTCCACCAGACTGTAAACTGCACTTCAGTCTTTGCTTCAGTCTGGTTGTTATGGGAAGGAAAGTCTCAAGTATTTTCACACAAACATCCTATAAATGTATTTAATTTGATCTTCTTCTTTAAGAATATAAACAGTCAAAATCTGTTATGTGGATAAGTAATGTCTCTATATATCTGGACAATTACTTTTCTGCTTGGCCAGAATGTTGATGATAGAGCATGAAAAAATATACAATGTGAGTTTACTGGTTCAAACATGGACTTCAAATCATGTTCTATTTTGTAGCGTCATGTCAAAAGAAAAAAAAAGATGAATACCCACTACCCACGAATGAACCAGCAGATTTTTTTTGAAAAAAAAAAAAAAAAAAGCATAGTCACAGCTTTTAGTTCAATGCATAAAAAGTCTATCCCTCACGACACAAGATCATGCCATATTCTTTAAAAACTGCTATTTTTTTTTAAATGTTAGATTTATTGCATGTACATCAAACTTTAAACTGTATAATTCCATGCAATCCACCCCTGCTCACAGCTGTTATTCCTCCCTGTCTGTTTGCTGTGATGAAGATGGAACACACTGACCGCTCCATACCTATAGGGAGTTTATTCTATCAGCAGATGGGAGCGTGCAGGGGCCCCCAATAGCTCGGGGCCATGCATGGTCTGTATAATAGTGCCCTCCCAAGAGACCGCTGGCTCTCCCACTGCAGAAGAATGAACTCCTGTGCTGCACCTGGCAACTAATAAAACACACCAACCCAAAATAAAATTCACAAATCATGGACATCATAGAGAAAAAGCCCAGAGATGTTACTGAAGAGTAAAAGTGATTTGTTCAGTTGCAAAAACAGAGAAGGGCAAATATACAGGGCCCTTGAAATTACTGATATACCTTGAACTTTTAGACATTTTGTCACAAACATAAACCTAAAGATTGTTTTCACCGAAAGTTCACAACAAGTAACAGACAATTGTGATGTGAAAGCTAAATGATACATGATTTGTTATTGTTTTTAAAATAGAAAAGTTGGGCTTTCTGTAAAATACCAAATTACAATCTTTATGTTTATTGTTGTAGATTTAACAAACTGTGCAAAAGTTCAAGGTGTATTAGTACGTTCATTGTTTTGTGAATAAATCAGACCACAATATGTAGTCTTCATCTTTTTAGAAAAGGCTGAAGCCAATAATACATACATAAAACTACTGGCCGAGACAAAGGATATAATGACATTTTTTGTGGTTTCAAAGTTACTTACCCCAGCTCTACTCATAGATACAAGATACATCATGTTGAAGCTATAAGATCCAGGCCAGAAAAACTTTCATCTCTTCAAACTGTATACTCGCAACTTGACAAGATAGACCTTAGCTCTTATGGCAAGTTTAGATACATCTGAAGACCTTCTCTTGCCTCTGGAGCTCTTTATTCTCTAGCTCTAGAGCAAAGGTTCTCTTGCTAAATGTTTCAGATCCTCCAATAGCTGCTCTTCTTCTCCTCTGTTCTCAGCAGGTCACTGTGGAGGTACTCAAAAAACGTTACATCAAGTTTGAATAGGCCACTTAATTTCTCGTTTCACACCATTAGTTATTAGTTTGAATTTAATCATATCAGTGTTCACTCTGGTAACTTCCTCCAGCCCATGCCGCTCACACGCACTTTAAAGGCACCGCTTTAGAGGAATTCTATCCGTGGATCAGGTGTGTGTTGGTATTGTGAGACCTCAGCTGACAGCTCGTGCCCCGCGGCTGAAACAGACGTCAGATTAGAGCGAAAGGGGATTTTCATGGCGGCTCTGATGTATATTCAAAAACATGGAGTCGCTGTTTTGAGTTTCTCCAGGAAGTGAGAGATTTCATTGCTTTATCTGCTTTGCTGCTTTCAGAAAATACTACTCTCATTATACATTATATAGAAATCTATATACCATTCAGGTGTGATTTAAGACACACAGGTTAGGTGTTAGGTCATTGTTGAAATACATTAAAAGGAGTTAAATTTCACAAAGAACATAAAGGATCAAGAGCAAAGGCTGAGTTATTACCACAGGTGGGAAATCATACAATAGATTGAATCAATAGAAAGAAAGCAAATTAATATTGTATGTAATCATAACTATATGCATTAACAAGATGTGTTAGATATTTTCATTTGACTACATATCTCTGGACGCTTTGCCCTGGAACCTTCTCAGCACCTGTCTTCGACCTGCACCTGTGACATGGTTGCCCCTGGCCTAGACTTGTCAGCGATACCCCCTCATCCCCTCCTGGGAGCCTCTTCAGTCCTGGATCTATAGCCTGTCCGTCCGTTGGTGCGAATCCCTCTCTCACTTTGGAGGTTTCTCTAGTTTTGAACCTGGAGATAGCACCTGTGAGTTGGTTGCCTCGGGCTGGACTCTTTGGCTTCACCAACTGCCCGTCTGAGAGCATCTTCAGTACTGCACAGCCTCAGTCCTGGTTCTACAGCCTGTCTGTCCGTGAGAACAAATCCCTCTCTCAATTTAAGCCTTCCTGAGGTTCTTCACATTATTTTGAGTTTATGAGTCGTTCCTTGGCAATTCAGAAGGGTCTAAGGACAGCGATGATCCGAAACATTTATTAACACAGTCATCAGCCTCCTATGGACAAATGGCTCTTATGTATTTGTTCTTAAAGTGTTTGAATGATTTGATTGATCTGTTGTTGGCAAAATGACAACTGTGTAGTCTTCTGACAGAAATGCTGTTGAGATTAAGGGCTATAAAATGTACTTGAATGGCTGGTTCAAATGAAGTTTAATTCATTGAGCTATTTCATCGTAATGTCTCACACTAATACCAACAGTTTATACCAATTGCTATTTACACGAAAAATTTCAGCTCAATCCGTCCAGTTTGTGCAATTCTGCCGACACACACACACACACACACCAAGGCGATATCATTTCCCCTTGGTCGGGCAACTATATGGCTCAATGGCTTAACCAGGAGCCACAAAAGTGATTGATAATTCTCATGTTTAATTGTTGAAAATGACAGATCTGCCAGTTTTCTCCCCTAGAAATGTATATCTTGTGAACCAATCAAGCCCCTGGTTTATTTTTATTTTTAAAACTATTCCGACTGCACAATAACTAAACAGCTTTGACATCATGAGGAGAAAATGGGTGACTTCCTGCCTCAGTCCAGTACATGTTATTTACAGTAATTATAGGTTATAACTGTCTCACCACGTGCCCCGTGATTGTCCCTGGTGCAGTGGGCAGTTACTGTGCTGACAGCTCTGTGGGTTCTCTTACCAAGCTCTTTAGGGGTACACGCATATCATTATTTTGAATTATGTTGTATACCATAAAGTTAGAAATAGATTCAAAATTGCAGAACGAAGCCATGACTCTTCTGGCCTCTTCTTAACATTTTTATTATGAGTGGCTATTATTGTTTGTGCTTTTATTCTGCTAACTGTTGGGTATTGTCATCATCTCTGCGTGTGAGTGTGTGTGTGTGAGTTTGTGTATAGGCAGAATTGTGTAAAAACGACTGCACGGACTGTACTGAAATTATGTGTATTGTATGTGATGGAGTAAATACAGTACAATACGACTTTTGACATGATCTGTTGTGTTGGCAGCTCTGATTTTGTTTGTATTTAGAATTATATAAGTTGTAACAGAATCCGACTGCAGGATTAGCAAACATCACTGAGCCATAACATTTACTCTGTGTCTCATTTAAAGGTGCTCCAGTGAAATATTTATAGCTATGTTATTTATCTTTCCACTTTATTGAACACGTTGAAATAACTATTTATACATGTGGAACTTCATTTTCAGCAGAGTGCCAGTAGGAATTCATCAAAAACACAGAGACGCAAGATATAAAATACAAAATAGGTGACCAGCAGGTGATGCATGCCAAGTCAGATCAGATACACAGATATGATTCAACTGTGCCAGTCCACATAACAGCTTTTGTTTGCTTGCTTTTACTTTGTGAGATAATACCAGTTAACCGTTAGCTAGAGCTACACCAAACCTAATTAAAAAAAAACGTCTATGCACCAAACAAGTGTTTTTTTGTGAAAGAAAGTAGAACAGTGCTCTGAGCCATTATGATTGACCTCACACTGTGAAGATTCAAAATTTGCCATCACTGACTTTTCCCCCCAACGTCAACACATCCCATGTAGTTGACAAAAGATCATCTCTGTGTATAGGTTTGCATCCAGATGTTATTATAGATCCATGTTTGCTTCATAGACTCATGGATATAATAACATTGACTGTATTGGAGGATTTCCTTCCCGGGTTGCCAGGTAAAATACCGGTTATATGTCAATTCGAGAGAGGAAAAAATAACAAATACAGATTACGATGGAACAATTTAACTATTACACACATTAAAAATCACCATCTTTTTAAACAGTCATTTTCAACCAGCCTGCCTCTCATCCTTTCCCCGTTCCAAACGCCAAAATAGGTCCACCTCATTTATCCCGCTAATCCGCTTGTCTTGCACCGTTTCCTTTTGGCTCAATCATATCAGCACCTGGTCCAGATGTCCGCCTGCCCGCACCCTAACCACGTCAAAACACACTGACCTACATCCTCTCTCCTCTTTTACGCGTGCGTGTGGGCGTGTGTGTGCCTGGCGCGCCGCGAGAGTATCCAGCCGCTGCAGGTACCATAGGAGGAGGAGGCGGAGAAGCCAGGCAGGCAGGCACACAGGCGCTCCATCCCGGCTTACAACCCCTTTCCCCAGCGCCTTGCTATCTTGGATTCATTTTTTTTAATGTTTATTTTATTTACGGGTTTTCCCAGGGCGTGACAGCGGCATCTGAGCGAAACGCACTCGGATGGGAAGATCGAGACGAGCGACCCGAGCCTTCGCTTTGAATGAACCATGGAATCCTTCTTCACAGAGGTAACAATAACATGCTTTGATAACCAAATATGTGCGTGAAACACATAATCTACCATCATTTTAAAACTGTAGATGCTGTGAATACCGGTGTTGATCCAGGCACACCCGCGCGTCTCTGGGCCATTCAGGTGTTTTGTGGTATTCTATCGACTGCCACGCGTTTTTCTTCTATTACTAATTGTGGCAAGATTGGCTTGTATCTCATTTTTACGCATTGTACGCAAATTGGCCATAGCTGAGTGGTATAGCGCCGCGCTGCCCCTGGATTACCGACAATCTGTTAACAATATGCTGCTGTTTCTTGTGGCTGTGTGATTACAGTGGGATGGATGGGGCAGGTGGGTAGACACTGCTAGCATAGGGTAATGGGCCATGCGTTTAGCAGGGATTGGAGAGCTGGTTTTTGGGGTGTAGGAGGAGGTATTGTGGGGCCTATACTTGGCACAGAATGGAGGAGGGTTGTGCCTTTGAGAGGTGGAGGTAAAAGATGTAATTTGTCCAGAGCTGTCTACTGAAGCATGCCGTGTTTGTTGCCATTGCCTTTGACTAGTAAATGGTAGAGTCCATAGACTCAAGCTGTTGTTCTTGAGAGAATAAATACATACATACATCCTCCTAAAAATCATTACAAAAAATACTCATGTGTTAGCAAATGTAATCTGCTGTAACCTTGCAACCACGTCCCTATCCCTTTTATCATATCACTCATCAGGATTTTAAGACTATCTGTTAAATCAACTATCATGATAAAGTAGGTCACAATACAATTATAATAACTGAATTACTGCATACAGACATTTGAATGAAATTGTAAAAAAAAAAATAAGCCAATGTGTAAATATGTCTGTCACATAACTTCACTGTTTCACTGCTTCAGACTGTTTGATCAATCATAGATAGAACATGTTAGACTATCTGAAACAACGGGAATGTTACAACATATTCAGAATCATGCTATTTCAATTTTCTAGTTTCCCCTTACAACTTCAAACCTATTCCCAGTTATTTTTGGTTTCCATCACTTAAATAGTCGTAAAATGACGAATTAAATGTAATTTAAAACGCTTGATCCGGTAGAAAAGGCAGTATGTCAGATTACATTTAAATGCCCTCTATATATGTTATTGTAAAGCCTTGTGCACATTGCAAAGACACTCTTCCATCTGCTGCTCAGTTTGTCTAAAGTGTTGCCTCCACCCATGGCTCTGCCCCTCTTTCACAGTATCCTCCCTCTGCATAGACAAGCTCCTTACCCCCCTCCCCCAGTTAATCTGATATGGCTTTAAATGCCTCGCACATAATGGCAGAATATGACATCTTGGGGTTTTTCCCTTCATCTTCTGTTTTGGACAGCAACTAACCATTGACTTGTGTTTAGGAAAGTCACTATGGTCACTTAGGATTTGGGGACAAATTGGGGACAAAGGTGTGTAAGTCAAAACACTGGACATCTCGTTTGCTCATAAAGGAGACATTGAGTGCAAGGTTTGCTTTATTTATAGTGTTATAATTGTTTTTAAAAGCTTGCCTTCATGTTTCTTTTGTAATAATTATTCTTAAATATTTGAAAAGTCAATTTTCTGGTACTTTCAAGACGCCACAGCTCCCCGTGTGTGGGATGCTGGTACTTTTGTATTGTGAAGTCACTGGCCTATGTGTTGCCAAAGAACGGGCGGCACGGTGGCTGAGTGGATAGCACTCTCGCCTCTCAGCAAGAAGGTCCTGGGTTCGAATCCCGGTCGGACCAGGGCCTTTCTGAGTGGAGTTTGCATGTTCTCCCCGTGTCTGCGTAGGTTTCCTCCGGGTACTCCGGTTTCCCCTACCACTAAAAATATGTCCGATAGTTCTGGCATGCGCTTCCTGTACTGGCGACCCCGCTCCCATCTCTGTGTGGAGTGAGAGACAATTGCCAAAATTAACAATTGTAAACCGCTTTGAGACTCAGATCTGCAGTGAAAAGGCGGTATATAAATAAAAACTTACTTACTACTTACAACAACAGTTTAGCACTTTACAGCCTCAGCCGCGTATGATATGCTTGACCTAACCCCATTCTGCAATGTAGCCTCCATGGACCTATCCTGGCCTTAGTCATCCGTACAATCCGCTCAATCATCATTTCCCTGCATGTAACGTCTGGGTCTGGTCCCTGTGTTAGCGATTACAATTGGTTGAATTCCATCCGACCAATCAGTGAGCGCAGGAGGCGGGTGTTGTAGTTAGTTATGGGTGTCGTCAAGAGTTTGCGTCGAACGGGCAGGTTGTGGTTTGGCAATGGCGAAAAATGCAATAGTAAAGTACGTACTCAGGTCTGGTTCTATCAAAAAATCGAAGCCGGAGCAAGAGGAATGTTTAGCAAACGTAATCGCTGGAACATTTTTTGGTGCTACTCCCCACGGGGTCCGTTAGCGGCAAAGGAGATGCCTAGGCTAAAGGCTAAATGCTAACGACTCACTCGGGCGCATTACAGACGTCACGGTAAACTCAGATCCAATGGTTTCAATCTGCAAAAGGAGTTAACCGCTCCCACCTGTTAACGGAGCTCAATGGAGCGCCTCCAGACTTTAGTACGAAATGTAATTTGTACTATGGTGTGGTACGACCAGGCTACCATGGACCCATCATATGTACTTTTCTTTATGTTACTTAGTCCCAAACAGCTCTCTTTACACACAAGAGTCACGACATGTGTTTAAGTGAAGTGGTGGATTCTAATTGCAGATATAGCGAATGACTGACGGCGTCTGTTATCCCTGCAATTACTTTGTGTGTTGAAGGCTGATGCAGGAAGTGTAAAGAATATGAGAATGACACACTCGATCACCCAATCTGTCTGTACTGAGGAGGCAACATTATACGCATTCAAAGATATAATTTTTTTTATATATATTAAGTAAGTAAGTAAGTAAGCTTTATTTATATACCGCCTTTCACAGACCAGAGTCACAAAGCGGTTTACAATTGTTATTTTTGGGCACTTGTCCTCTCACTCCACACAGAGATGGGAGCGGGGTCGCCGAACAGGAGGCGCATGCCAGACCTATTGTACATATTTTTGGTGGTAGGGGAAACCGGAGTACCCAGAGGAAACCTACGCAGACACGGGGAGAACATGCAAACTCCACTCAGAAAGGCCCTGGTCCGGCCGGGATTCGAACCCAGGACCTTCTTGCTGAGAGGCGAGAGTGCTATCCACTCAGCCACCGTGCCGCTGAGTCATTTCATAGAGAAAAGTCTGTTGCCGTGATACAGTTTTTGATGTTGACACAGTTCGTGATTTTACACATATGGGAAGACATTTCGGATTTTTCTCTATATTTTTGAAATCATGAATGATTATGAAATCACTTTTTCACACATTGTAAGTGATTGTCTGAAGCCATTTATTGTCAAAAAAACATGTTTACTATTTTCAAATGATAATGACAACAGAAACTACCCAAATTTCCATGATTAGAAATTTCCATCCCCCGGTTCAATATCCTCTGCATATTTTCTGAAAATAATTCCCTTCAAACAGTTTCAATTTTGAATAATGTTTTACTAATTTTAATACAGCTCCTGTGAAGCCATTAAACAATATTTGACATGCAAATCTAACCTGCTTAATTCTTTAGGTTTTTTTTTAGGTTGCCTGATATCCTCTCATTAAAATAGTACTTGATCCTTTTTCAGTTTGTATTTCATTTTTTATTAATTTAAATTTTCACAAGCGCTCTATTCGGTCAACAAATCCAATACATATTAAGGAGCTTTAATTAAACACAAAATGACTAAACCACAGCACATAGCAACAGTCAAATCCCCTCTCTTTTGTCTGCTCCACTTGTCCCCCTGTCCATTTGATATATTGATTGCATTATTGATTCACAGAGCTCCATGTGTAATAACCAGTCTGTAGCCCAAAGCCAGACACTCTCTCCAAACTAAAGGAACGTGGTTCTCCTGATCAGGGAGGTGTCAGGGGAAGACTGGCTGATCGATTCTGATTAAAACTAGGACCATCCTTTCTAAACCAGGCGAAACAGGAGAAACCCAGAAGTAAAGCAGTCTGAATTCTTAGTCTTTTACAGTAAAAAGTATCAAATCAACTTTATTTATTTATTTATTTTGCACTTTTCACAGACCAGAGTCACAAAGTTCTTTGCAAATGAGGGGATTTGTCTCTCAGTCCACACAGAGATGGGAGAGGGGTCGCCAGTACAGGAGGCGTCAAACATAAGTCTATCACAAGACAAAATGTTGAATGAGGGCCTATATACACTTTATGCCACTGCCATTAACTCTAAAATGTATCACTTCAGCAGTAAGAACCACATATTAAAGCATACAAGTTACTTTAATAATTTTATTTTTGAACATTGATTTGAAAAGTTACCCTGGTTGTCACTCAGTAACTTGGGCATGCGGTTTGTAACCTATACATTAAGCAGTATTATTACAAGGACTAAAATATGTTAAAAGCATGACTATAGCAGGTTGTATTAAACTGGGCCTAAACCTGGACTAAAGCAAATCGCACACACTCACGAGATAACATGCTTACTCAGCAGTATGTGAGCATGCCATAACCTCCATGTCTCCATATGGATCTGTGTAGGGTACAGAATATAGCTCATATTTCAACCCTTCTCCTTTGTCATTATGTGCCTCAGAAGAAATGACTCAATGGTCTTAACTGCAGGCAAAAGCAGAGGTGAATCCACACCGAAAATGTCACTGTGAATTATACTTGACACACAGAAGAAAAAGGTCTTGTTTTGAATTTTAAAGTTTGAATTCAAACCATACAGCATCCAAAACAGTACATACAAGGTATTTATGGGATAATTAAGAATGTAAATGAGCTATTTTGTTGTGAATAAAAAGTCCAGAGCCAGTCTTTATAATCAGCTTGTTGACTGATGAAGATGATTGACACAACTGTATAAATACAAAGGATAAGTTGCTGGACTTGCCACTTGTTATAATTGTAACAGCCCAAAAAGTATTTTCTGCAA